TCCGGAACGCACCCCCTCCACGATGGGAGCTGCTTGGCCTTGGCTGTGCAGGGGCCGGGGCTCCTGGGGACCCTGGCCGGATCTGCAGTGGTGCTGAACGGGCTCCGGCCAGGAAGACACAATGAATAATTGTCACTTAAAAGGATAAACAGAAATTCCATTTCCCTTCCAAATACTTGAACATTTCAAAACACCGGGAGGACGCGATGCGTTCCCTTCCAAGCATGTCCGTGCAGTTTTGTGGGCTACCGCAGCGGGTGGGCAGCTCTCCTCTCTCAGGGAGAACCGGCCCGAGCGTTGAGTAACACAGGCAGACTGCACTCCTCACGTCGCCAGGGGCCACACGCACATGTTTCCAAGAGACTCTCTGGAGAATCTTCCCCGGATCTTGACAGAGTTGGATTTGGAAAGCACCTTGGTCCATCCAAGGTCCACACAGCGACCCTGGCAATGAAAAATCGTCCTCCGACTGGCAGCCTGTCTGCCAGGAGTGAGGCGACACCACACTTGGCCTCGGGAGCTGGAAACGCTGGTGAATTCAGATGCAGCCAAGCCTTCTAACGTAGTCACAGTTACTCATTATTCTTGGTCTTATTGGAGCAGGAACCACTGCCATGCGTCAGGCCGGCAAGGCTCACTCCCCACCGTAGGATCCCTGTGTAGACGGGCACTCCGTCAGAGCAGTTGGGTGTGTGGAGCAAGGGACGGGGCCCACCCTACCCTCCAAGCATCCACGCAGCCTTCAGCAGAGCAGGAGGACATAACCCGGGACTTGTACTCTGCAGTTGAAGTGCCAGACCTAAGAAATGCAAACCTGAGGATGGAAAGGAGGGTGGAGAGAGGGTGGGGGCGCCTGGATTGGCCGTCTGGAGCAGCCTCAGCTGCAGCAAGCGGAACTTTGCCGGCTGCCCCACAGGCCTGGTGGGTGCTCCAGGTGGGGGGCCGGGAGCAGCGTCCCCAGCAAGCAGCCTGTCCCACACATGAAGGTGCCCATCCCCTTAGCACCTTGCTAAGAGCTTCACTGACCAGACCTCCCCGAGGCCAGGGCTGCACTCGAGGGACTGCTGTCCCTGTTGGTGAAGAAGACCCATTGGGACCAGTGTTTCCCTCCACAGGGAAGCAGAGCTGTATTTTGTCAGCCAGAACTTTGCAAGCCTGAAACAGCCGGTCGTGGCCCCAGATCCAAGACGTGACCTTGCTCCAGAGCTGAAGGGCACAGAGAAGGCACAGCTAGAGATGGCAGGTGCCCCTCAAAGCTCTCGGGAAAGGGTGCAAGACGGGATCTCCCAGCACCTTTGGCCTCTAGGCTGACATGGCCTCAAAAGCCCTGACAGGGCTGCATACAAGGAGACAAAGCTGGAAAAAGATGTGGGAGGCAGATGCCTAAGAAGACAGGCTGGAAAGGGACGTGGGAGGCCGGCGGCTTTGCACTAAACAGAATCGTCTCAGTAATGTGACACTGCACATGTCTAGGTAGGTTCACTGGTAGACATAACCCTCTAACACACGTTTTATGGAGGTGAAATTCACTTAGCAGCCATTTTAAAGCATATACTTCGTCGGCATTTGCTGGATTCACGACATTGTGCAGCCTCTGCTTCTCTAGTTTCAGAACATTTTCGTCCCTCCAGAACAACACCTCATCCCCGTTAAGTAATCACTCCTCATTCCTTCCCCATCCTCTGGAAACCACACATCTGCTTTCTGACTCTATGGATTTTCTGTCTTGGATATTTCATATAAAAGGAACCACGCAGTGTGTGAACGTTTGTGTCTCACTTCTTTCAGTGGAAGCCGCATTTCCAAGGCTCATCCAAGCGGTGCCATGTATCCGCATCTCACTTCTGTTCACAGATGCATAATGTCCCACCCCAGGGACCAGCCACCATTTGTTAATCCCTTCACCTGTGGGGGACGCCCAGTCATCTCCGCCTGCCAACACCAGCTCAGCTGGGGAGACCCTAACCCAGCGGTGCTAGAGGAATTAAAGACACACACACAGAAATGTAGAGGTGTGGAGTGGGAAATCAGGGGGCTGACAGCCTTCAGAGCTGAGAGCCTCGAACAGAGATTTACCCACATATTTATTAACAGCAAGCCAGTGATAGGCATTGTTTCTATAGATTATAGATTTACTAAAAGTATTTACTAAAAGTATAAAGGGATGGGCCGAAATAAAGGGATGGGTTGGGCTAGTTATCTGCAGGAGGAGCATGTCCTTAAGGCACAGATCCCTCGTGCTATTGTTTGTGGTTAAAGAATGCCTTTAAGCGGTTTTCCGCCCTGGGCGGGCCAGGTGTTCCCTGCCCTCATTCCGGTAAACCCACAACCTTCCGGCCTGGGCCTCACGGCTGTCATGAACGTGTCACCGTGCTGCAGAGATTTTGTTTATGGCCAGTTTATGGCCAGATTTTGGGGGGCCTGTTCCCAGTGTCCGCCTTCCAGCTGTTACGAAGGACGTAGCTGCGAGCGTCTGTGTGCGCGTTTCTGAGGGGATGGTTTTGTTTCTGCCGGGTGTGTGCTTAAGAGGCGAATGCCGAGTCCCATGCTAAGTGTGTGCCTGACCTTTTTCAGGAGCCCCCAAAGTGTTTTCTGCAGCAGCCACACCGTTTTACATTCCCACTCCAGATTCTCGCCTTTTTCTACTTTAAAAACTCCAGGCAGAGGGAACACAACAGGTAAAGACCAGAGGCCCAGCGGGCGGTGCTTGGCTGGAGCTCACCACGGGCTGGACCAGAAGACACGAGAAAGACGGGAGTGGAAGCTGATGCCCAGAGGTGGGCGGCAACGAGGGCTCCGGTGGCTGGGCCGTGTTGCTTATGCAGAGGGAGTGGAGATGCTTGGAAATGCTTTGCAGTGGTGAGAATATGGCTTGTTGGGAGAGTGTCTGTGTATCTGGAATTACCTGAGAAGGCCTGGAGGAGTGACACCAGTGACAAGGCCATTGCAGGACACCCAGGAGGCCATGGGAGTAGTCAGGTGGGATTGCCATGCGAGAGGGCTGGAGAGAAGAGACAGGCAGAGGACACAGCCTGGGAGCATCTGCAGTCCGGGCAGGGGCGGGAGCAGCCTTCGGGGTGGTGGGTGGGGAAGACAAGGGCAGAAAGGGTTATCCAGGACTCAGGGGAGAAGAGGCAGGTCCTGAGTTGTTTACAAAGAATTTACATTAAAATAACGTAAGCTAGGCTGGGTGTTGTCACACCTGTAATCCCAGCACTTTGGGAGGCTGAGGCAGGCGGATCATTTGAGGTGAGGAGTTTGAGACCAGCCTGGCCAGCACGGTGAAACCCTGTCTCTACTAAAAATACAAAAAATTATCCAGGCGTGGTGGCATGTGCCTGTAATCCCAGCTACGTGGGAGGCTGAGGCATGAAACTCACTTGAATCCGGGAGGCGGAGGTTGCAGTGAGCGGAGACCACACCACTGTACTCCAGCCTGGGGGACAGAGCAAGACTCTGTCTCAAAAAAAATAAGCTATTGATGGGCTATATATTGTTAAGCTGTAGGGTGTGGGTTATCGTGTCCAGTACAGCATTGTTTGATTAATTTATAGCCTCTTGTGGCAACAGCAGGCAGTTTCCAGAGATGAATACGCAGCTTGAGTACGCAGGGCAGACGGGGCATGACGGCTGCCTCATCTTAACGCCTGGGGCCTGATAATTTAAAAGGACTCACGGTCCTCAGATAAACATGACTTTCTTTTCTCATGAGGAAACACAGAAGGTGACTAAAGGGTACCTGTTTCTCTCATGACACCCATCCTATCAGGTTTTTATTTCCCACACCGCCCAGTTTTCCAACTCCTTGGACGCCAGCTGGATGTCCTGGAATTCCATTCAATTCTGAGACTCACCACCTGGGTGGCAGTGCACCGTCCTCCCTCCCGGCATCTGGATGAGTCCGCCACCCTGGGAGTTCCTGGAATCCTGGCATTTAGGATGTCTGTGGAGGTTCCACTATGTAGGTGTGGGGCCGAGGGAGAGTTTTCCACTCAGCCTTACAAGCGTTCGCTGAAAACTCAGCTCACAAAAGGCAGATTAACTGGAGAAAAGGCACACAGATTAATGTGTATACAAGACAGCCTTCAGAAAAATCGCTCATTTTTAGGCTTAGGTTCAATGAAGTATGGGCAGCCTTGTAGAAACAGGATTGGATGCTTAGCTGGATCTGATGCTAATGGACTGAGAGGGAAAACCCAGCCTGGCCTGTATGTCTGGATTCTCCTTGGCCTCTCTGAGCAGCGCCCTCTCCTGGGTGTGGGTGGGACCCTCTCTGGAATGGGGGTCTTAGGAGCTACGGCCAAGCCAGGGAGGTCAGACCATTTCTTTACGGCCAGTTTGTAGACACAGAGGCACAGGGAAAATTAGAGCCCTAATTTTTGGTTGTTTGGCTGGCTTTGGGGAAAGGGGTTCTGGTTTCTAGGACCCACTGTGGGGAAGGATTCTCATTTCTGTGGCACCTTGAGTGAGGGTGGTACTGAGAGACAGAGGTGGGAGAAGCTCAGAGAGAAACGTGCTTCGGAGGCTGCTGCGGAGGCCCTCATTTTGGAGTATGATCTTCTGAGCCCCAACTTAGGCACCAAAAATAGCGTCCTAAGGCCCCCAGTGACTGCATGGACCCCCTCTTGGACAAGGGGACCCCAGAGAAACCTGGAAAACAGTTCCTGGCCACAATGGAAAGGGAGGTTGGACACCTGGCTATCCCCACTCCCTTGGGAGTTTAGGCATTAATGTCAAAACAGAGATCAGAGACAGAACTGACCGTGGCAGTGAGAGTCCCAGTTACGAACAGGACCCAAGACCACATCAGACGAGGGTTAAGTCAAGTCACGCACGCTGCTGGTCACTCCTGCCCCACGTGTCGGGTGCAGACGTCCTCATCACCGACTCCAGGTTTTAGATAAAGCATTGCTCCTTTAACCAACCACAATCTGAAGCCTCTCCGAATCCACCTGTAACCGATAAGGCCTGCTTCCAGATATCCCGCGTGTTCAAGCCAAGCCGATATATCCCTCGTCCGCCTGTAACGCCTGTCCCCCAAAGTGCATAAAACCAGACTGTAATCCAGCCACCTCAGGAACACTCACTCTAGGCTTCTTGGGTTTGTATTTTCCCTGAACTGTGGTCACCTGTATTAGGGGTCAGAATAAACCTCTTTAAAATATTTTACAGAGTTTGGTTTTTCATTAACAGAATAATTGGTTAAATTCTTGGCCATCGGTAATCAGTTCCATCTCCAGCTCCTGTCCTCTCTCCCCTCTCACTTCCTGGAGGTTGGGGTGGATCTGAAAGTTCTCACCTGTAAGCCTTGCCTTGGTCTTTCTGGGGAGCAGTCCCTTCCTGAAGCTGCCCAAGGGTCACCAGCTCTGTCCTCTCGTCAGCACACGAAAGACACACTCACCACTCAAGAGGTTCCAGGGCTCTTAGAAGCTCTGGTGTTGGGAATCTGGGATGAAGACCAAATTTATATGTTGTTATTATCACAATACTATGGCAACGGTCTGCAAACCAGGAAGAGAGTCTCACCAGACGCCAGCCATGCTAGCACCCTGATGTTGGCCTTTCTGCCTCCAGGACTGAGTGAGAGAATGTTTGTGGGGTGAGCCCTGGTCTGTGGTGTGCTTTACGGGCGGGACCCCTGTGAGCCCCGAGTCAGCACTTGCTGCCTCCCTGCTCTCAGAGGCACGTGGCAGTTGCCTTTCCCTGTGGAGGGTTGGGTGAGATTGCCCTTGCACTGACAGCAACTGAAGAAGGATTGAGGGCCCTAGATCTCTGGGTGCAGGGCGCCTGGTGAAACGACCTGCCACACATGACTGATTTTCAGCCAAAAATCACTTGTAGCTTACCAAATATGCCAGACCAAAAGCTAAAACCAAAAGTTGAGAGAGAATCTTCATTTTACAAATGGAGAAATCAGAGCATCCTAATGGTGAGCGACTTGTTTAAAAAGGAAAATTCTGTATGGCTGTGGGTCTGCAGCTGCTGTCAAAGGATTGCTTTCAGTAACTTGCCAGTAATGGTGGAGCAGTTGTGCTTGCTTCCTAGTCAGAGGGCATGTCAAATAAAAGAACCCTAATTTTGGAATTTTGAGTTCAATTCCTAGCTCCTGAAAAATGATTTCAAACTTAGAAATTGGTTCCAGCAACATTATGAGTCAAGAATGAAGGTAGAATAAAGCTATTTTCTGGCATTCAACCTTCCAAAACATTTACCTGTTTAAACTTCTTTTAGAAAGTTACTTGAGGATGTGCTCCAGCAAAATGAAGGAGAAAATAAAGAGGAAGACCTGGGATCCAACAAATAGTGGATTCAACTGAGAAAAGTTGTGGAGGGAAGTCCCAGGAGGAGAGCTGCACACTGGATCTGAGAGAGTGGCACAATGGAGGCTGCATATGGGGCTCATCCTGAGGAGACTCCCTGGCATAATGGAGCACTGGGAGTGAAGGCAGATAGAAGATAGCCAGGAGACTATGAACACACATGAGCATGTATTGTGAGAAAAAAAAAGTCAAAACTATCAGGCTGGGCAAAGGGCAGGGGGAAGCTGTTGATGGAATGAAAAATAACCATCATGCTTTGTTTGGCTCAGTAATAAGCAATATTAACTTAGTCATGAAAATGTAAATACTAACTATGGACTTAACTAAAAATAGAGATATAATTATAATGTGGATGTGGAAGTAGGGGAGATGGAGCTAAAATGCCTGTCCAGCAGGAAATAAACAGATAATGTCTAAAAAATGGATAAGTCAAGCAACAAAAATAGAGGCATATGATTTTGTGATAAAACAGTCATGACCAGAAGGAACAGCTTTAACAGGGACAAGTAGTTGCTTTCGCAAAAAGAGAATTAGGACGTGGCTGGGTGGGAAGCAAGTGACTGTCAGCTCCAGGATCCACATCTGGTCCTGCTTTATTCCACAGTTCAAGTGTATTGTGTAAAGATCGATATTTTAATTAAAGTGTAATAAGGTGAGATAATTAAATAGCAAAAAAAATAAATAAATAAAACAAAGCTGCCCATTCCCGTACCTCGTTGCTCAGCTTCCCGCAGCCCCCAGGCCCCACCCCGAGGGCTTCCTGCAGGACAGAGCACATTGCAGCTGCCACAGCAGGAACTGGATGCACTGGTCAGTCACAAACCACAAAGCAGAACTGGAAGCTAGTGGAGTGGGGGAAATATTTGCAGTAAATATGACACAAAGATTAATAGCTACTTACAGATTTCACATCTATTAAGGTTCGTCTGTAAAATCACTGTAGTTGGGGTTTGGAACACAGAGAAACTCACACATGAAGCAGCACTGAATACACGGGAAAGACACAGTCGTATGTGCAGGGCACACAGGAGCAATGCAGTGGGCACGGGTCAGCACACATGGCCCAGGAGATGCAGGGAAGCCGAGCACCACTCTGCCCACTCGAATGCCCAGCTCTGCACTCGGCAGCCACGGCGAAGAGGGCAACCTCGGAAGCAATCTGACAAAACCTAGGGGTGAATACAGGAGTTCACACCTTTCACTCACTCTCGCACCAGAAAGTCATGACAGGAGGAATGATGAGGCTCTGGGTGGCAAACGCATAACAGGAGACAATCCAAATTTCCAGCAACAAGGCATTAAGTAGATCAAGGCACATCTATTTGTGGCTTATGAGTTACTGGGTGGACATGGGGTGGACTCGGGGAGCCCACTGGGCCGTAGCCCCCATCCTCCATTCCCACCACACCCCACGGCTCCCTCCTCACTGGGGTGGACCTTGTACAGTTCTACCATCCAGCAGCCATGTAAGTATCTGCCAGATTAAATTCCACAACCACTGAAGGATGAAGACAGCAGACAAGACTTTAGGGAGATTTCTCCCTCTAGCCTCTCTGTGAGCTCCATCTGCAGGCGCTGCCTGTAGGGACTGGCATACTCAGAGCCTGGCAGACTCAGGGCCCAGCACACACAGGGCACAGCACACTCAGGGCCTGGCAAACACAGGGTCTGGCACACACAGGCCCAGCACACTCAGGGTCCAGCACACTCAGGGCCTGGCACACACAGGGTCCGGCACACACAGTGCCTGCCAACCACAGGCCCAGCACACACAGAGTCCTGTACACTCAGGGCCTGGCGCACACACGGTCCAGCACACATGGTGCCTGGCACACACAGGGTCCAGCACACACAGGGTCCAGCACACTCAGGGCACAGCACACTCGGGGTCTGGCACACTCAGTGCCTGGCACAGTGGGGGCAAAACACACACCGGGCAAGGCACACTCAGGATCTGGCACACTCAGGGGTTCCAGGGCTCCAGGATATTAATGCTGGTGCCTGGAGTTCTTAGGGGTGTCTGGGGGCACAGAAGAGAGGCTGGCTGGGCCTCCTGGACAGGGTGAGGGTGGGGCATCACATTCTGTTTAGAAAATAAGGAGTGTTTTTAAAAAGCAGTAAAAACCGTAAAAGGAAACCCCTCAGGGCCACATCTTGAGGTTTACCTGGACGTGACCCTGAAAATACATGTCCGTGTCTTTCCCATGTGTTCAGTGCTGCTTCGCGTGTGAGTTTCTCTGTGTTCTCTTTGGAGCTTCGAGGTGCTGGGCCCAAGTCCTCCGTGCGGGCCCCAGAGCAGCGGCTGGGAATTCGGAGGGTGCGGAGGGCATCCTGAGGCAGGGGAGATCTGGGCGGGCAGCACAGGGCCTGAGGGGGTGTCGAGCTTCACAGAGGACAAATCCTGCCAGCCTGGCACGTGGCCTCCGGCCTGGGGCCTGATGCCTGCTGGACAATGGGGGGCGGGAGAGGAAGGCCCGCAGTGACGCGGAATTTTAGACAGGTTTTCCTGGTTTGAGGAAGCAGCCACGTCCACTCCGGCAGGGGACCGCTTTGATGGAGGAGCTTGGATGCTGCTGTTTGCAGGCCAGGCTTCTGCCAAGGCCCCTTCAACCCACGCTTCGGGCCGTGGCCCCAGGGTCTGGGGGGGTCTGCTGCCGGGGCCTCTGGTTGACTCAGGGGCTGGTGGGGACTCCTAGCAGAAGCTCCGAGGCCTCCACCTTATAACCCAATGGGTCGCAGGGCTGCGGGGCAGCTGTGGGCTGGGCTGGGCTCACACTTGGTCCTACAAGTGAAGCCACTTTGGGGGCTTCTGAGCCCAAGTCCAACCACAAGGAGGAGTGAAACGGATGCATTTCTAAATGCTTCAGCTTGGCAGCGATAAAAATATTTGGGAAATCTTTGACGTTTACCGAGCACCTACTATGGACGGAGAACTCAAGAAACCCTTTCCAGGAGTTCTCCTCAACGATCCTGACCGGCCGCTGTGGGCCCTTAGGACCTTAGGCAGCCGCCCTGCTCACCCAGAGCACGGAAGAGTTGAGATCAGAACCTGCTCCCCTCCCACCCTCCAAGCCTCGCTCTGCACTCCCCATCACAGGGCTGGACATGGAGAACAGCTGAGGCAGCCAGATTTGGGAGGGCAGAGCTGGAGGGGTACCCTGGGCTCTTACCAGCCATGCGAGCCCAGCTCAGGAAAACGTGGGGAGCCTGGCCAGGTGACTCTGGGGCCACCATCTTGGACGACAGCTGCTCAGGGCTCTGGGTTTCCTGCCAGGAGGGAAAGGAGATCAGCTGCACCCCCATATGCTGGGACTCTCAGGGTGTCTGCACCTTCACAGAGACCTCACGTTTCGAGTGAGGATGGGTCAAAGTGCGAAATCGGTGACCACCAGCTGGGAGCGTTGGGCATCCTGATGGTCCCACTCTAGGGAAGGGAGGGGTTCCCCAGTCTCTGCTGGCCAGTGTCGGGGTGAGGCACTGCCCCGACTGCCCCACGGAATGTCTGGGCCCCAGCAGGCAGCTGCATCCGAAGTCTCATTAGTGCCCACACCTGCCAAGAGTGACCCGTGTGCCCGCTGTGCCCAGGGTGGAATTCCACAGAGCCACTCCCCAGCAGGCAGCTCTTCAGTCCCACTGGCCCTTATCAACTCCTGTTACTGCAGTGACTGCACCCACCTCCTCTCTACGATGCGTAAGAACCGCCTTTCCTGTCACCCTGGAGGCAGGGTTGTGGGGCAGAAGTAGTGGCTCTGGGGCTGGGCAGGAAGGCTTGAGCCTGGCTTGGGATCAGCCAGCTTGAGCTGGGGTGCGCTGCAGGAACAAATGGCCTCCTGCGTCTTGGGCTTCCAGCGACAGCGTGTGCTTCTCACTCACGCTACAGGCACGTGATGGTCAGCTGGAGCTCTGTTCCACGGCCTCTCAGTTCCGGGACCCAGGCTGAAGGATGCCTCTCATGGGAGGCTCTGTGGGCTGGAGGATGGGGACATGGTGGAACCATGTGATGGCCCCTGAGGCATCTGCTCAGCTAGGACGTTGGCAAAAGCATCGCCCAAACCTGACATCAAGAGGCCCCAGGGAGAGGCAGGAAACACTCCGAGCACGAATCTAGCCAGTCTACCCCTAATGTGTCCTTGAGCAAGTGAGGACCTTCTCCAGACCTCGGTGCCCTCAGCTGAGATGGGCATGGCCATGGCAGGACTACTGGGGTCTAGCAGCATTGCCAAGGCCTGGCCCCTGTCTGCTGTCTCTGTGGGGCCCTCTCAGTCTGCTGAGGTCTTGGTGATGATTGATAAGCTGGACAGTACATTCTGAGCCCTGATGTGCCCTGCAGATGCAAGGGCTGTCTGTGGTCACCGTGGTTTCTGGAACCCTCTATTTTCCATTTGAATCCCACACAGCCAGCTATGGCTATGGACAGAGTGCAAACTCCGAATCCGCTCCCAGCCTTGGGGCCCTCAGGGTCACTCAACTCCCAGTGCCTTACAAGGTGGGCTCCTCTGAGAGTGTGGACGGCCGCTCCACTGGGCTGAGATGCTTCCCCTGTGAGCCTGCCTGACCCCCCGACGGGCCTCCCGGGGCATGTCCTGCATGCCCCACTGGGGACCCTCCACACCGGTGGCAACGTGAGGCCAGCCCTGCTGGGATTGCCCTGGCCCTGGCATTGTGTCTCCTGGCTGTCCCTGTTCTCCTGGGCAGATTTTCCAGCTATTTAATTTTCATTCCTGCACATCTGGGTTGACTTCACTGGCAACGTGAGGCTCCCACCAGACATCGCACTTTGTTTTACGGTAGGAAGAAGCGTGGAATGACACCGACTTCTTGATCCACGATATATCTGGGGGCACCAAAATTCAGGCGTTTTCTCTCCTCCCCCACGTCAGAGGCAGTAACCTGTCCAGCTCCCCTCTCGGAAGCAGCAGGATCCTGAGCTGCTTCTGTGAACGTTCACAAGCTGCTTCAAATGACTTCCTACCACTGGATCTGCGCGGGGAGAGCGAGGGCAGCAAGCCTGAAGCCTCAGTGTGCAACTCCACCCCATCGTGTAACACCTGACTGTACAACTCACCCCAGTCATCAACTCACCCCAGTGCGTAACTCACCCCATCATTGTGCAACTTACCCCATCATTGTGTAACTCACCCCATCATTGTTCTTAACTCACCCCATCATTGTGTAACTCACCCCACACCCCACTATGCAAATCACACCACTGTATAACTCACCCCATCATTGGGTAACTCACCCCATTGTGTAACTCACCCCACTGCATAACTTACCCCACTGTGCAAATCACCCATCATTGTGTAACTCACCCCATCATTGTGTAACTCACCCCACCATGTAACTCACCCCATCATTGTGTAACTCACCCCACCATGTAACTCACCCCATCATTGTGTAACTCACCCCACCGTGTAACTCACCCCATCATTGTGTAACTCACCCCACTATGCAAATCACACCACTGTATAATCCTTACTCCCATCATTGGGTAATCCCTTACCCCATTGTGTAACTCTCACCTGCACTGCATAATCTCTACCCACTGTGCAATCACCCATCATCATTGTGTAATCCCACCCCATCATTGTGTAACTCAATTCACCATGTAATCAACCCTCATCATTGTGTAACTCACCTCACCAAGGTAATTGCACCTCACCGCTGTGTAACTCACCCCACCATGTAACTCACCCCATCATTGTGTAACTCACCCCACCGTGTAACTCACCCCATCATTGTGTAACTCACCCCACTGTCTAACTCACCCCATTGTGTAACTCACAGAGCTTGGTCGTCCTGTCTAGAGTCACTGTCCTAAAAGCACTGTCGGGTCACTGAACCTGTGATTAGCCTAGGCTTTACCTACCCAGAACCCCTGCTGAGCGCCATGAGCACCATCGTAGGCTCAGCTGTGAAGTTTCCAGGTTCCACATGCACTTGCCCTGTCAGGGGCCAGGATGCTGCCAGAGTTGTGTTCACCTCAGGTGTGTCATCACTGTAGCTGTTTCGGTCCGTGACACAGTCTTGCAATGTTGGCGTGGATGTGGAAGCCTGCAGGGAACAGTCGGCACTGGCATCGAGGCCCCCGGATATGGCCATCCACCCTCGATGGCCCCAGGTCCTTTCAGCCCCTCAGGGTTTATTTCCTAGGGAAACTCTGGTTTGGAACCATAACTGCAAAGAGGAAAGTCACAGAAGTTCAGTGGGATGATCCAACTTGCTTGCCAAGAACATATTGCTCCACTAAAATTCTCTTGTAGTTTCTACACCCAAGACATGGGCCAAAAATTCAGAAGCCACTGGGACAGCCTGGGAAGAACAAACCTGGCTAGGGACTTTGTCAGTCCTCCCAAGTCACAAGCGCTCAGGCGTCCCGTACAGGAGAGGGGGTCTTGGCCCAGAGCTCACCCTCCTCGCTGAGGCACAGCTGGGGCATGCTTGGTCCATCAGAGCTAAGATGCTCTGCACTGTGCTTTTAAGGAGCAGGGATCCTGCCAGGGAGCACTCTTAGATGGAACCACGATAAGCAGTGATTTATGGTCAGCCCCTATACACACAGCAGATGCTGAGGCCTACTGAGCTTCAGAGCAGTGCACCTGCACTCCTGCCTCCCAGTCTGACCCGGCTCCAGCCTCTGTGCTCCGTGCTGCACTCCAATCCCACCAGCACCAGCAGCTGACAGCAGGGGAGACGTTCTTTCCATGATAAGGGTTTGTTTGAACCAGCCATGAGTTCTTCCAGTAAACACAATTAGCACATAAAACTGCATCGCATGGTGAAAGGAATTAGGAAAATATGCTGTGTTTACTTTGTGGTTCCAAGAACTGATATCTTTAAACCTTTGATTTGCCAAGAGCTCAAGTCATGGGCAGGAAAGGAGGGTAAACCCGCCCCGTCACTTGCAAGTGGCCGATGGATAAACAGCCGCCTGGCGTCTCCTCACAGCGCAACTCAGCTGCTGCTCCCGAGCTGTGCTTCCAAGTGCTGGGCTGTTTGGCCTCTGCCCCCAAGTGGAGGCTCCTGCAGAGCACAGCTGGGCCAGGAGCTGGGTGGCTTCGTTGGTGCTGTCATTGCTGTGCCTCAGTTTCCATCCACAGAAGAGGGGACCGTACAGGGCTCTTGAGCAGAACAAGATAGTTGTCATGAGACTCTGGGGGCTGCACCAAATAATGCTGGTCACTGAAAAGGAAGCAGCCTGTGTTACCCGGACCGCATGACCTCCACACCGCTTTCCAGAAGGTTCGTGAATAACCCACCCCTCATTTACATGTAATTAGCTGGAGGTATAAACAGAGCCAGCCAGCAATCTGAGGGCGCCCTTTTGCCTGGGGATGGCCCTGCTCTGTCCATGCAGCAGCCTTTGGCTGTGCCCCGTTGCCCTAATCAATGCTTCTTCCACTGTCAGATTCTGTGTGAATCTCTCCTGATCACGCTTCCTCCACCATCGGCTCACGTGTGAATTATCTCCTGATCAACACCTCCTACGCCGTCAGCTCACGTGTGAATTATCTCCTGATCAACGCCTCCTACGCCGTCAGCTCACGTGTGAATTATCTCCTGATCAACGCCTCCTCCGCCGTCGGCTCACGTGTGAATTATCTCCTGATCAACGCCTCCTCCACCGTCGGCTCCACGTGGAATTATCTCCTGATCAACGCATCCACCACCGTCGGCTCAAATGTGAATTATCTCGATCAATGCCTCTCCACCGTCAGCTCATGTGTCTGAATTATCTCTGATCAATGCCTCCTCCGCTGTCGGCTCACGTGGCCAGATGAATCTCCCCTGATCAACGCCTCCTCCACCGTCGGCTCACGTGTGAGTCTCTCCTGATCAACGCCTCCTCTACTGTCAGCCCACGTGTGAATCTCTCCTGAGTGAAGCTGAGAGTCCTCTTGGACACAGGAGGTCTGCCTGCCTTGGTTTTGCTCTGCAGACCACTCACCTTGGTTTAGAAGCTTCCTCTCTTGAGGAAGGTGATTGCCTGCTAAAGAAAAATTGTCAACACTTTCTGGAGAAATAGAATCCAGAGCCACTACACATAAAATTTATATTTGGGATAAAATCCAAAATTATTTGACATATGAAGACCAAGAAAAATATTACCAATCTTCAAAAGAAATGACAATTTTTAGTTTCCAACATTGAGATGAAAAGACTGTTGGAGTTACCAGACAAGTACTTTAAAACAGCTATTGTAACTGTGCTCAGCAAAGTAAAGGTATGCTTATGATGAATGAAAATATAAAAAGTCTAAGCAGGAAAATATAAAATATTAAACAGAACCAAATGGAATTTTAAAACTAAAAAATACAATATTTGAAATAAAAAGTTCAGGTTTAATAGAGGAAAATAGTAGTAAACTTAAAGAGATTGATGAAATGCCATATAAATTAAAGAGAGAGAAAAGTGATTTAAAAAGCAAACAGAGATCTACAATAGTTGTCATCTCTTCAAAATGTCTATAAAGTGTTTTTGTAAGCCTCATAGTAATCATAATGCAAAAACCTATAATAGATACACTAAAAATAAAAAGCAATGAATTAAAACATACTACCAGAGAAAATCACTTGACTACAAAGGATGATGGTAACAAAGAAGGAGAGGAGTTACAAGACAACCAGAAAACAAGCAACACAATGGCAGTAGTAAGTCCTTCCTTATAAATAACCTCAATGGGTTGGCTCCACAGCAAAATTGAAGAAACAGTGGAAAGAATCAGCGAAACAGAAGTACAATCTGAACAACATAGAGAAAATAGACTGGAAAAAAAATGAACAGAACCTCAGGGACTTCTGGGGCTATAACAAAAGATACGAATTCATGTCATCAAAATCTCAGAAGGAGAGGAGAAAGAGGATGGAGCTGGAAAAACACCAAAAATAAAATAACTGAAAACTTAAGAAATTTGGCAAAAGACATAAACCTACAAATATGAGAGGCTGAAAAACTCCAAACAGGTTACATTCAAAAAAATTCGTACCAAGACACATCATAGTCAAACTTCTGAAAAGTAAAGGCACAGAGAGAAATGACATTTTACCCATAGGGAAAAGCAATTCAAATGGCAACAGATTTCTCATCAGAAACCATGGAGGCTAGAAGGAAGTAGCACACAAAACTGCCAACACAAAAGTCTGTATTCAGCGAAAACAATCTTCAGGATTGAAAGGGAAAATTGAGACATTCTTACCTGAAAGAAAACTAAGAACGTTTGTCCCTGGCAGGTCCATCCAAAAAGAATGGCTAAAGGGCTTCCCAACACAGAAAGAAAATGATCAAAGAGGAAAACTTTTTTCTCCTCTCAAATTTTCTAAATTATATTTGATGAAGTAAAAATTAAACCACTGTAGCTCTAAATATGAATATATCTGGAGGAGATATTTATGACAATTATATCGCAGACAGGAGATTAAAAAGACATAAAAGAGAAAAATCAAGGAAACAAATAACTTTTTCTTTAAAAAGATCAATAAAATAGACAAATCTGTAGCAAGACTGACCAAAAAGAGAGAAGGCATAAATTATCAATATTAGAAATGAACAGGGGCCATCACTAAAGACCCTGCAGACATCAAAGGATATTAAAGGAATACTGCAAACAATTCTATGTAAATATGACCACTTAGATGAAATCGACCAATTCATTAAACAAAAAACGACCCCAACACATCTAATATGAAATAGATCATTTGAATAGTTTTATAGAAAATGGAATTTGTAATTTAAAAATTGCCAAAAGTGAAATCTCCAGGCCCGGATGGTTTTATTGGAGAATTCTACCAAATGTGTAAAGAATTTATAATTCTACCCAATCTCCTTTAGAAAATAGAAGAGGAGAGAACACTTTCCAACTCATTTTACAAAATTAATGTTAATACCAAAACCAGGCAAAAACAATAACAAAAAAAGAAAACCATAGACCAATGTCCTTTATTAACATAAAAATCCTTTTTTGGCCGGGCGCGGTGGCTCAAGCCTGTAATCCCAGCACTTTGGGAGGACGAGACGGGTGGATCACGAGGTCAGGAGATCGAGACCATCCTGGCTAATATGGTGAAACCCCATCTCTACTAAAAAATACAAAAAAAAACTAGCCGGGCGAGGTGGCGGGCGCCTGTAGTCCCAGCTACTCCGGAGGCTGAGGCAGGAGAATGGCGTAAACCCGGGAGTCAGAGCTTGCAGTGAGCTGAGATCCGGCCACTGCACTCCAGCCTGGCGACAGAGTGAGACTTGAGACTCTGTCTCACTCTGTCGCCAGGCTGGAGTGCAGTGGTGCATTCTCAGCTCACTGCAACTTCCACTTCCTAGGTTCAAGCGATTCTCCTGCCTCAGCCTCCCAAGTAGCTGGGATTACAGGCACCTGCCACCACACCCAGCTAATTTTTATATTTTTAGTAGAGATGGGGGTTTCACCACGTTGGCCAGGCTGCTCTCGAATTCCTGACCTCAAGTGATCTGCCCAAAGTGCTGGGATTACAGGTGTGAGCCACTGCACCTGGCTGAAAAAATGAACATTGATTGATATTATACACCAAAATTAACTCAAAATGAATCACAGCCCTAGATGTAAAACCAAAAACTACAGAACTTCCAGGAGAAAAATCTAGAAGCAGGCAAATATTTCTTAGCTATGACACAAAAGACCATAAACTATTAAAGAAAAACTTGCTAAATTTAGAACTTTTGCTTTGGGAAAGATACCATTAAGGGAACAATAAGGCAAATCACAGAATAGAGAAAATATTTGCAATACATATATCTAAACTTGTGTCCAAAAAAAATAACTCTCATGCATCAGTGAGAAGATGGCAAACGACCTGACAAAAAGGTGGGCAAATGACTTAGACAGACATAAAAGATATACGGGTGTTGAATAAGCATATCAGGAAAATGCAAATTAAAACCACAAAGAGACTCCAGTACAAATCCACTAGAAAAGGTGAAATGAAAAAGACTGACTATAGCTGGTATTAGTGAGGATGTGGAGCAACCAGAAAAGCCAGCACGTGGCACGATTTTGGAAACAGTTTGAAAGTTTCCACCCATCGTATGATGCAGCCATTCCCCTTGTAGGTGTTGATCCAGGAGAAATGGAAACATATGGTCACACAGGTATTTGCAC